TATTAATATTACAATTTGCTTTTGTGCCCATTTATGTTTATGAGCCAAAGCACTAACATTCAGACTTGAAATTAGCACTGTTAAACACTTTATTGGTATGAAAAAAAACTCTACACGTGGAGTTAAACATCTATCAAGGGTAGGCAGCCTCGGCACTCCAGCTGTGCAGAAACGATAAATCCCATCATGCCGCTTCCTTCCTGCTTGATGCTGTCAGAGTTTTGCAATGCCTCATGGGATTTGCAGTTCCACAACAGCTAGAGTGCCAAGATTGCCTACCCCTGATTTATGAGAACTATACAGTGCAGAGAGTGCCAACTCTAAACTACCAGTTTGTCTTACCACTTGCTGCAGTATACAATTCTCAGCTACCTGTCTGGAGAGAACAGTCTACATACAGATAGTTGCAAGAAACACATGAAAAGCCTCTAGCTGTAGAATACTGTAATAGACAACATTAAGTTATCTCTTATGGAAGACAATGCACAATATAACACAGGAGAGGCCAGCACAAGCAGTCCAAGATACAGAAAAGTCAATAGAAATGATATCAGGGATACTGTCCCAAATAAGCCCACATTTTAAATTTTAATCAAACACAAATCTCTAATGTAGGACAGTGAAACAGGCCAAAGGAACAAGAAGAAAACATTTGGAAGAAAGACCAAGGCATTTACATAGTTACCATTTACCAGAACATGTTTGGTTGAGAAGTACTCACTCTTGAGAAGTCCCCCAGCTCTAGGTAAGAATACAATGAGATTGCAATCCGATTGCCTAACACTGGCCTTAGACAGTGCAACAAAAACAAGTAACGTGCTGATTTTGAGCACTTGACTATACAATACAGCAATACTCTAATACTGCCCTCAGGAAATATTTGTTTAAAGAAGCAGCATGGCTGAGTGAGACGTTTCCATAATAATATACAAAAATGCTTTATCCTGTTATTAGCCTTGACATTTAAATATAATAATATCATTGCCATCCAAAATACACTAAAGTCATTAGCACACGCAAACATAACTTTAAATCTATAGCATAAAACTTTATTGAGTTAAAGTGACATTAAAGTCAAAACATTTTTTCCCTCCCCCCCATGTTAATGTTAGCACTTACCTTAAATGATGTCTCTTATTCCGATCTTTTCTGGGTTTTTTTATCTGTCCCTCCAGCGGTGCGGCGGCTCTCCGATCCAGCGCTGACTGCTCTGCCCCTCCGATCCAGCGGTGTCTGCATGCGGGTGTACGCATCCATAGACTTACCTTGCGTCTCTGCTCGTCTCCCGGCCGAGAATCCGAACTGCGCATACGCCCGCCCCAAGATCCTTTGCGGCCGCACGAGCAGTTCCTGATTCTCGGCGCGGGAGCACGCAGCGATAACTAGGTACGTTTAAACCGCTGTTAAAGCGTTTTTTTTTTTTTTACTTTTTGCCTATATCTACTGCTTCCTACCAGTAAATATAGGCAAAAAAACCCGGAGGGTTTAGAACCCCTTTAACACATCTGGACATTTTAAATTGTAACCTTTTGGCAAACAGTGAACATCACAAAATTGTATGTTATCTGTGTGCATACTGTGTGTGTGGGGTATTTTTTTTATTTTAATGTTTCATTAACTTTTTTTTTTTTTTAGTACGGTTTACGATGACAAGCCCCCTTGGTGACAATATACACTCTAATTTTGACAGGTCTTCTTTTGAGAATCAAAAGGTGTAAAGAGACCCTTGATGTTTCCCCTTATGTGTGGAGGAAGAGATCAAGGACACAGAGCCTTCAATCTCCTTCTCCCCTGCTGCGGGCATTTACTATTGAACACAGAAGTGCTCAGTACAGACCGCTTCTTTGTGCATTCGCAAAACTGCAGAGAATTGGCACACATGCCTCTGTGTTTATGATCTCCTTCAGTTTATGAATTGCTGAAGTGACCAGGAGCTTAAAGCAGAAGGGCATGCAAGCAATGTTAAGCTGGTTATACACCTTACAATTATCTGCAGATTTTCTGTGGTCAGATGGAAAAGGTGCAACAGATTCCTCCATCTATACTTAACTGTGTGGATGGAGTAATCTCCACCTGGGCCAATCTGTTGCACTTTTTCCATCTGACCACAGAAAATCTGCAGATAATTGTAAGGTGAATGGGCATCTTAAGGCATACTGAATTGGCTCTAGAGAAGCAGAGCCAGCTGTCAGTCAGGCAGCGGGGTGGATCCCAGCTTAAGCACGGGTCAGTGTTGCCAGCATATAGAGGGCAATAGCCCGCTATATGCCGAGTTTCGGGTCACAGGAGGACATTAATATATAACATCCTGTGACCCTAAAGAGAACTATGGCAAAAAAAGGTTGGGCCATAGTTGTCTTCTAGGTGTATAATGAATACTTTTTTTCCATATGGTTTGAACATCTTTTTGCAAATACGTACAGTGTAAATTGCAGAAATACACAATCACATATCATAGTAAACACAATTTTGAACAACCATTTCATTACCTGTACAGTAGGAGGTGATGGAAATAAATCTGCCGGACATAAGGGTTTACCAATCTCCTAAGGAACAAAAAATGCAATGTCATTCAAAATAGAAAGCAATAATAAGGTCTATCAGTTCATGAAACTCAGCTACTTTTAAGAATGGCAACATAATGGGCTCCAGTAAAATATGGAAAAAATATTAGAATTTTAAAGTCTGCCATTTTGCCTTGAATAGTGTGAGACCGCTGCTTCTCCATAGATATGGTACACTGAGTGTTGCCACCCTAGTACAGAAGTGCGTTACTTGCAGGATCATTAGATGAAATTAAAGGCCTAAAAAATAGAAAACGAATGTTGCCACCGCATCCAAGGACTAGTAAGTGGCAATAAATAAAATATTTGTTCTTAGGTTTAGATACACGTAAAGCATGGGTTTGAGGGTTGGTGGGAGTCTTCTTTCAAAAGAACATGTCACTGTGCCCCGAAAGGCCAAAATGACAGTCTCTTTAAAAGCAGCAGAATTCCAAAGCAATAGGCCCTTGCATGGAAGTACATTGTGGCAAAATATTGCCCAAAACAAACTGTTGCATTTTACATTCTCCTAAAGTGGTATTGATACTAGTATTGGTACATCCCTAGTTTGAGGGTACCCTCTATTGGCTAACTTAAGTTATTAAAGATTGAGGTTTTCTGGACTCCTTAATTCCCTTTGTCAGGCTATATACATCTCTCCATTTTTTTTAATACATTAGTTCAGGGCTCAAAATTTCAAGTCCTGAGCTACTAGCCAGGCCTTAAGAGTTACTCGCCACCAGTTGCCCCACCTAACCCCAACCCTGCCTCGGCCTTAACTCCGCCCCTAAACCCACCCTCTTAAATTATCTTATGAAATTACACTTTTAAATGTTGAAGGCAGAATAAAGTTACAAAAATAAATATTAACAACAACAATATTAAGATAAAGCAATGTAAACATTGCGGCCCTCCACATCCCCACATATAAAATAAATACCCTCCCCCCTGTTCTCTGCCTCCCCCCATATAAAATAATACCCCACCTTTCTCTGCCCCCCACATATATATAATACTACCCCACCGTTCTCTGCCCCCACATATAAAATAATACCCCACCATTCTCTGCCCCCACATATAAAATAATACCCCACCGTTCTCTGCCCCC